TGACATATATGTTCCTTTAACCACAATGACTCGAGGAACTTAAGGCAAATAGAAAATGCTTTCTGGATGTTGTGAAGCCCAAACTTTCTGAAAATAGTTTGAATGCATTTCCAGCTCTCCACAGGCAGCTGTTTTCTCTCACCCTGGCACGGTCCGCACATCTCTGCACACAGGGAGAGCTCCCTTCCTAGCTACCTACGTGTGGGTAGTTATTAAACAGGTTATTCCTGAAGAAGAGACACTGTTTCTGAAAGAAAAGGCATGGAGCAGTTATTTGAGAATAAGACTGCTTTTTTGGAGTTGTTGTCTGTTTCAGGAAATACTATAGCATCTCTCTGATCTCATGAAAGAAAAATAAAAATGTTGTGACTTAGACTTGGCTCTGTTCATTTGGCTTTTCCTGTCTAACCCACACCATGCTGATAAACACCATATCTGTCTTGACAAGCTAGTTTGCAAATAACCATTCATTCGTAACTTTAGGCAGTTGTAAGAACCCTTACTGTCACTTCATCTTGTGAACAAGAATGCAAAGTCTGGTCTTGAGAAAGACACATGAAATGACCACAAGTCCACTGGTCTTTGCAAGTCTCTATCTGAAGGAGATTATTGTATACTTTTTAGTGGATTTAATGACCACTAAAATAGTTATTGTTGCCAAAACATAAATGGGAATTTTCTGGCAGATATAATTTAATTTTTAAATTTTGGATTTATTTCAGTGTTCGTAATTTCAATGCTGCTTAGACCGAGTCTGTCAGGGATTGTTCTGTCTTCACCAGATGTAGCAGTAATTTTGTCATTTCCTCCATTTGCGGGCTTCTTTTTTATATGGTCATTTATTTCCCTATCCATTGGCTTAATCTCATCTTCACTTCTGTTTGACGTCTTAATGGCAATGTGACTGAAGTTGTTCCTACTTGCTTTATAATGAACACTTGTAATTAAGCTGCTGGCTTGGAAAGTCCAAAAACTCATGGATGACTTATTCAGACTCTAATTTAAATGGAGGAAAAAGAATATCCACAGATTGAGGACATTTCTTTGCAGAGGATGGTGATTTGGTCAAGGGACTATGCCCTTGGAACTCCGTAGGGGCTTTCTGTGGGCAAATGTTTCAACATCCAAGCTCATTGCTTGGCATTTTGGGCTCTGGAGGTTAAGAAGAAGAAGACAGAGGAAGGAGGACTCCAGAGCTCCTGACTTTTACCTGGAGGTAGCCGGGCAGAACCAAAGCTGAGTTATACCATCACCTCAGGTTCTGAAGCAGCGGGTCCCACCTTTAGATGAGTCTGTTGAACTCCACTTCCCCGAGCTGCTGGTATCTGTTCCCACTCTGTTTCATATCTGAGACATCTTGAGGTGTTTTTAAAATTCATATTGATTTGAATAGTGATTTAGTCACATTTGCATCTCTCCATAGTAGTAAGCCTGAGGTTGTAAGTGCGTTAACTAAAGTCACTGGTCCATGAACTGCATCGTAAACTGCCGCTGTTTCACCTACTAAACTCATGCTTTTCTCCTCCATACAATGTGACTGATGCTACTTTTTCTTGGAGAGAGATATATTCCAGAAGAATTCCACTGCCAGAACATATCACCATCAATAATGAAACTATGTGTGTAGAGTCATGTCTAATTTCATTAAGTCTTTGTCACAAGTACTCAGATTCTAGAACGAGGGTCTTGATCCAAGCTGACTCCAAATCATTATACATTTGGGTCAGTTTGCCCTATCTCAGTAACATTTGCTGGGAATTCTCTGAGAAGAATAGAAACTCATTGTAGTTTATTGTTGGGGGAAGGACAGTACCCACCTATAGAATTACTATAATTACAAGAGTGATATATGTTTGTGTGGAGGGGTTGGAGGGATGGGGGAGCTGATAGGACATGGAGTTTAGCTGAACGTTTTTAATCACATCTAATTTTGTTTAAGATATAATTGCAGCAAGAATGGCTTTGTCTTTTTCTTACAGACACTTTCACACTACACAAAACCACCACTTACGCAGAACAAACTGTTATGAGCGGATACTTTTTCTTTGATCCACCTGGTTGGATTGTTTTGAGGTCCAATGAAGTTTTGTAAAAGGCCTTTCTAACCTATAAATTGTAATGACCTTTAATGGTGGTTCTCAAATTTTACCATGCCAAAGAATCACCTGTAGAGCTTATTATAACTGTAGATTCCCAAGCCTTTGTGCCCTAGCCTACATCTTGGGGAGAAGGCCAGGTGATTCTCATGCAGGTATTTCAGAACACATTCTGAAAACACTGTGTATTTTTGTTTTGTTTTGTTGCTGTATCTCTTAGCTGTGTCATCACAGGTAAAAATGAACTTTTATAGTTCACTTCATAGTTCTTTAGTTATTTTGTAAGTTACCCATGTAAAATCTGAATTTTTGGACTGTTTCTGTTTGATGGCTTGTATGATCCATAGTCCCTCATTATCAATTAGTGAATGTCCAAGTTCTTCTATTTTTTTTTTTTTTTTTTTTTTTTTTTGCCAAAAAAATGCCATAGATTACTGCTTGGAGTTCTTAAATAAAACAGCGTGCATCGTGAGTCTTGATAAGGTGTAAGGGAAGAATGAATGAGGGGCATGTCACTCAGGAAATCAGAAAGTAAAAGCACAAAGGTTTTATTTTATTTTTTTTATTTTATTTTAAGTTCTTCTAAAAAGTACTGTGTCTCTAAGACCATAAATGTCTCAGATTTTCATAGGGCTTTACATTTTGCAAAACATTTTCACACATATCCAAAGCTTCACTGATCTAAAAAAAGGTGTTTTCATACCGCAGTTTACTTCAGTCATGTAGATTATTGAAAATTGATTATTTAAAAGCTAAAGATTGTTTTCTGTGGCCTGAATAATCCCTATTAACATTCTTATATCTACATCCAATTCATAGCCTTAATGTCTAAGATACCAGATCAGCACCAGAACTCGTCCTTTGGCCCATCTTCAAAACAAAAAAGCAAAAAAGAAAGAAAGGAAAGAAATGAAAGGATTATAATATTGTAGCTTTATAGCAGAGTGAAAGTAAACCAAAGGTGCATACTTGAGGACTGCATGCTGAAAATTGCAAAAGACGATACTTACCTCGCCATGTTCCCACACAGACTTCCTGTGACCTGGGTGACCTAGGGCAATTTCAAGGATCTGAATCCCATTAATTGTCCCTTTTCTGCACCACGGCATACACTGGCCTGAAGAAGGTGCTGTTTCCCAGGAAAAGGACTTAAGTCCCCCCAAGAAATGCACAGGGCCATAGCTTGAAGAAAAGGCATTCTAATAAAGCGACTTGCTCTGCGAGTTCTGCCTTTTTCTAGTTATGTTCTTTGCGCGTTTTCTTTAAGACAACTTTCAGCATCTCTTTTTAAAGGTCAGGTATGGATGAGAAAATGTTTGAACTTGCTAATCTTGTGACAAACAGTTTACACCCAGTGTAGCTTCCTGTCTTTGCTGACTGGTTATTTGAGGGAATTTTCTCCCTGTAAGACTGTGGAGAAGGCCCTAAAAATAAACGACATGGTTGCTTATTGGTGGGAACACATGTGAGCAGATGTCAGCTGGAAGCAGCATATGGCTGCAACATGACCGCAGCCTGCGCTCACAGAAGCTGGGCCACTGGGCCACTATGTTCTGTGCCACACCGGCCACACAGAGCCCTAGATCTCAGTTAAAGGGTGTTCTCACTAGGTGTGATCCACACGTGTGAAAATCTGTCACTGGGATCTTGTTAGCGGGCTAAATGTTGGAGACGGTAAGTTACAGGGTATGGGAGTGGCCTTCGTTATCCATTCTAAAACTGAGCAACGAGAGGAGCTAATCCAGCAAAAACGTTGAGAGAAGAGCCCATAAGGTCTTTGTCTGTTGTTAAAAGTTTTCAAGTCAGGTCTAAATAGTGGCCATGTTACTTCTAGAAGACATGCCCTATGTGTATAGAAGGTGCGTAGATTCTAAGTCTATGTAAGGAGCTAGGAAAGAATTACATTTCATCCAGGCCTAGAAGGGCTTCTTTTATCACAAAAGTTTGATAACTAATATAATTGCATTCCTTGATCACATTTTATTTCTCAGTCCCTTTTAAGTATATCGTCTCATTTCAATTTTATAAAAACCCTCAGGGATAGCATGACATCTGCCTCAGCATATACACACAGAGGCATGGGTAAATCCAGGGGCTATCCAAAGATTCACAAGAAATCAGTGACAGGACAGGGGTTTTAATCCAAATTTTCTCATGCAAAAATTCTATATTTATTGACCCTACCACAGATAGGAAAGGCTTGAACACTTAGCAATGTTTTCTTTCCTATTGGAGGTATTTTTTGGTGTATTTTCTTTTCTAAAAATGTGGTGGGCAATATAGAACTCTGGTTGCTATTACTTTAAAGAAAATAAAGTTCAAAATTTCTGGATGTAATAACTATCAAGGAAGATATGTTTAATGCATTTCAAAGAGCTCTAACTTTTTAAACTGTAGCCCCAAACCAATAGACACTTGTACTTTTGACTCATTCAGAAAGGAGTTTCACATGTGGGTTAGAAATGATGACAGGTGGTTTTAAGAACACTGAAATCTAGGCCAGCCAAACGAAAAACAAAGTTTTATTCTTAATAGGTAGGCTGTCTTTTGTCAAAGGAGGTCAAAGCCCTTCTTACCCATTTTTAATATAAGTCAAGGTATTTATTTTACTACTTCAGTATATGAATTGTACACGGTTATTTTATTACTACAACATGTTAAAAGGAAAACTGAACTCAGGAGACTGATTGTGGGTTAAGGGATGCTGGAAGGTCTGGGACTAGACTCATGACTTCTCCATCAGTCCTTAGTGTCAATCCCTGGCCCTGGGTAGCAGGGACCTTATATTTGTGGGGGAATGATAACATTCAGTGAGCCCCTCATCTACTTTGAATCTTTGTATAGTTCTGTGCCAGGCATCTCCTCAGTAAAATAGCTAATGACTGTGCTTTTTAAAACTCCTAGCTGTCTGCCCAGTTGTTCCAACACCCTCTGGCTCAGTGGGCAGCTTGTGCGCCAGACAGTCTCAGGTGCTCTGTGGGTACCTTGGTGAGTACACTTGTCTGCTTTCTTCCTCGTTTGACGTAGTGATATCAAATCCATCTTTAGTATTTGTCTCCTGTGGGGAACTTGTCAGAGGCAGAATAGGATTCTGAAATGCAGCCTTGGGGCTGAGCAATCACAAAGGTGCTGAAATTTTCTCATCAGAGTTTACATGAGAAAAACTGCATAGCTTTGAAGTAATGCAATGATTTGCTTGCAGTATGTGAAAGAATGACTTGTGGGTATGAGATATGTGTGCAGGGTCACAGAGGCATTTGAAGTGTTGATCTCCTGACCCTCCTGGAGGTTACAGTCTGGAGAATTGAACAGTATGGGCTGAATGTCAGGGAATGTCTCTTTTTTATATCTTATTTGTATCTATGTTCTTATTCCTGACACATAGCAGGTGCTCAGGTAATGTTTCTTGCACTGAACGAAAGTGAAATAAGGAGATTTTTTCTCCTTTGACGTTCTAGAGGGAAGCTTGTGGGGAAGTTTTGTTGGTGCTGTTACTTGTGACCTTCGTATTGACACATCTGGGTTGCATGACAAAATAGATTGTTATGGGTCAGGCCCTCAGCTGACTGGACCTGGGAGATTGTCACTTGCTGAAACCACTTAGCCCTGACGCTCAGACCAAGTGCAAGCTCCTCAGAGCCAGTGCCACGTGTTAGGCTGAGGGGCACCATAGCCAGAAGTCTCCACTCCTTTTTGATTTAAAATATAGATCAATTCAGCCAGCATTTATTGCATGCCTGCTGTATTCTGGGCAGTACGTCCACAGCAAAGAATAGGACTTGATACTTGAGGAATTCAGCGGCAAAGTCATGTCTGAACCATGCTCAGGAACAAAGGAAACAGACTCACAATCCTGGCATTAGTTCACTACATATTTTTGAGGCCCTGAGGTTTGGATTATGTTGATTCTAAATATGGGTGGAGGTCCCAGATAGGGACAGAAGAAATGTTTTTATTACCCTAGTAGAAGCCTAGTTCACTGAATATCTTATTATACAATTTACCTTGTCTAACCTTGTGTCTTATGAATCAGTATAATTTATTTACAGTGGCCTAAACTGAGGTTTCCTCAAAAAGAACTGATTCTATTGAGAATATATGTTTATTTTAGTCCAGAAAGCCTCAAAATGGCTAAGCTGCTACATTAATTAAAAGAGCGAAAATGTTAATCCATGCTTTTTAAGCTCCCTTTTGTGAACCAGAATATATTTTGTTTTCAAGCTCTAAGTTTTTATTTTATTTCACTATCTAAACCAAGGAGTGATATGTCTGATTTTTTTTTTTTTTTCTGCACCACTGACTGGCTTTTTGGAAAGAAAAGGGGAAGGGAAGGAGAGAAGGAAAACATTTATTGACTACCCCCCATGTCCCTGGTCTTGCGACACACTGTTCTGGTCCTCCTCACGTTGGTTGGTTGGTCAGGGAGGGCCAAGGTGACGATCCCCATTTTTCAGGAAATTGTGGTTTGGAGAGGTAAATACCTTGTTCTTGGTCACAGAGCTAGCCAGTGGCAGAGCCAAAGTCCGAATCCAGGTCTGGTCTGGGTGCTCTCCATCACACTGCAGAGACCCCAAACATTTCCCTCCTAACTTTCCCTTTGGAGTCCTGTCCCATTCATTTTCTAACTTTCTTCCCTATTACTTTGGATTAATTTCCTTTTCATCTTTTCCTCCCATAGTAAACAAGTTGAGGGGCCTACCCTGGTTCTTTGGGTGGTTTTTCTTCTCAGACAGTCCTGCTCACTTGGGGTTATTTTCGGTCACTTAATTGCTGTAAACTTCCCTCTTCCTTTGGTGAGAAAACACTGGAAACCCACCCTCCTCCTCAGCGAGTCTCTGGGTTATGGAAGGGGAGGTCGGGTGCAAGCTCCACATAGATTCCCATGCAGTGGGAGACCCTTCCTCCCACCCAGCTGACAGGCATGTGGGAAAGCCCTGGGACCCCCTTTCAGACCTTCCACGCAAGGCAGCTGAGCAGTGGGGCTCTGTGTTTTTTGTCTCTGTTCTTAGAAATAGTAATTGAGCAAAAATGTAAGTGAGCACATGCCAGAGGGCAAGCGTCCAGGGTCAGGGTGAATTTCTCCGTGCTGAGTGTGATTCTGAATACTCGTTAAGTGGAGCTGGCCTGTGCCAAGCAGCTCGAGGGCCATCCTGTCACCTTGCGTGAACCGCCTCTCCATTCCAAGACGATGCTGGGAGCGGCTGGAGGGAGCAAGGCCTGTGGCGCCTCTGGCTTTTCTCACTCTCCAACCTGGGTGTTGTTGATAACTGCATGTTCTGACACTGAGGATCGGACTGGCAGCTCTGATGCTTCATCAGCTTTAAGTAAAATACCCTGGGGGATGAAGCAGTTCATGCTCCTCACAGCCCACGTGGCTGCAGAATCATTTTTCTCCTTTTAAATTCATTATCCCCCATGCTATTGGTTAAGAAGAGATCAGCCTGCCTAAGCGTTTTCCTAAGAAGCTGTAAGAATACAGAGGATAAGCAATAGAGACAGTCTCTCTATGAGGGACTGGATTAACAGTCATGAAGGTGAACTCAATTTTTAAGTATTTACTGAGCAAGAGGCTTTTAAGTAGCTTGATTAAGATTGAAAGATGGTGTTTCTGAGAGTGTGGTCTGCATTCATATCTCCCAGAGCATCTTATAGAATAAAGCGGGTTCCCTGGCCCTGATTCTGACCTGCCAAGTGACAACCTCTGGGGCTGGGGAGCTGGGAGCCCGTACGTGTCAGACAGGCGCTGCAGGGCTTAGGCCGCTGTAGTCAGCAGCTGCTCAGACCACGGGCCCGCTGATGCTGCAGGTCTGTGCTCACGGTCAGCACATGGGAAGATTTGGATCCAACGGGGCCTCTGTTTAATCAGCTGGTCCTGCAAGTGCGGATCCTGAATCCACAGTCCCTGGGGGAGTTTTTGCCCCAGGCTTTCCATTCTCCTGGGTCATGCAAATGTTGAGGTGGACCTATTATCAGTACTCACACATTCCCTACTCACTGTTTACCCCAGAGGACGACAATGAGTGTGCAGGGAGTAAATTAATCCCAGGGTGGGGGAGGGAGTGCCTAGTTTGGATGTCATGGATGAGAGAATTCCCGCCCTCAAGTGCCTTCAACTGGGCAACTGTGAACTCTGGAGTGGGAAAGGATTTTTGAAGCTAATGTTTAATGTGTGGCATATATCAGGTAATGTTTAAGTTAATGTATAATTCCCTGAGGTAGTGTTTGGTCAGAGCACTGCTGACTCCTTCATGGCCTGAATCCCATTCTGAGACATTCCATGGGGTAAGGATCTAGCCAACGATGGAATGTAAACTCTACTATCTCAGCCAATCTCAGCCTCGGGTAACTGCAGGTTTCTCTTTCCAAATAGTGTTTTCTTTTCCAACCAGAGGTATTAGAGCAGGTGAGAATCTGACCAAGCTATTAAAAAGTAAAGTTAATGATAAATTACTTGGTATTTTCTTTGTAAAACTCTATGCTTCCTGGTATGCTGATGTTATTGTTGAACCATCCAGTATTTTGAATCCAACTATATGATGTGAGTATTCTATAACTACTGTAGTTTTTTTGGCTATTAAACTAGGGAAATATCCAGTTCCCCTATATGATCTGCATCACTAAGCAGCCCACAGAGCTATTGAAATATGAGAAGAATGACTGATAGCATTAATTTTACTTCCCAACAAGCCTTTGATGAAAAGAGAGCTCTTCATTAACTTTTAAGATAAATGTCAAATGTATGCAGAGATGGTGGGAAGACAAAGGTAAGAAGAGGATGTTCTTAGGATATACTGGTTCGCTCACACACCAATCTAGACACCAGTGATGTCATCAGTGAATGAAGAAAACAGCAAAAATCCTTGCCCTTGGGGAGCTTACATTCTGGTGGAGGAAGATAGACAATAATGCAGATTAAATAAGAATGATAGAATTTGTTAGATCTTATGGCGGGGGGCAGTAGAGCTCGCTCAGGAGGATGGGGAGGTGAGTTGCAATATTAAATAAGCTGGATAGACAACAGTTCATCAAAAGGTGGCATTTAAGCCACCTCAAAGGAGGTCAGAGAGTCATCTGGGGCTGTCTGGGGACGAGCATTTCTGCTCCTGGCATGTTCCAGGATTATCAAAAGTGTCCCAGGAGATAAGACTAGAGAGACAATGAGGGGCAGGTCATGTAGGCCATCACAAGACCTGCGGCTTTTCCTCAGAATAAATGAAGAGACGGGTGGTCTTAGCCAAGGGGTCACTGTGGCTGTTTAATTGAGACTGGACCTAGGGTGGCCAAAGGAGAAGCAGGAAGTCAAGTCCAGCAAGGAGGTCTTTGTAAGCACTGGGATGGCACTTTGCAACCGTGTTTCTAGGTGAAACTGACTATAATAAGAATCTCAAACAGACCTGCCTAGTGCTATTAGCAAATATAGGCTACAGTGGGTTCTGTATATAGAATATGTTTTTGTTTATCTGATTGTTTTTAATTAATAATCTGGAGTTATAGGCAATTTATCCTCTTCCTTTCTGGAAAGAAGCTATCTCTGTACCCTTCTGTGTATGAAAGTAACCCCTTGGGTTTCCCATCTTGTGCTGACAAGTGTGGAGTGGCAGCTGTTGGAGTTTGTACTTGTGTCAACTTGGTGGCCAGGGACACATAGCACCAAGCGCACAGATGTGCACACCTTGGCCTAGGAGAGTGACCAACTACCTCTCCCCCTGTGAAGTAGAGAGTTGGACTTGGAAAGATCTTTTGATCTGTCCAGCTGTGCCTAGTGCAAGAAATAGAAGTGCCTTTGCCTAAATTTTGAAATGAGGTCATAAGCCAGGGAATTTGTAAAGCTGTCTCTCATCAGTCAAATGCATTTCTGTTGGACCATAATCAGCTGCCTAATTCTTAAGTTTTAAACAGCAAGAGTGTACACTGGGATATTGATTATATTCCTTTATCCATTTGTACAAGAAACATCTCGTGAGTCTATTGTGTGCCAGGTGAGAGAT